ACTTTTTATTTGACTTCCTTCCTTGGAGAGGAAATGATACATACTAATTTGGCTAGTTTCGACTATGCAAGGAATTAAGACAAGAAAAAAGAAAAGTCAGGAATAAATCCACACATCAAAACTTAATTTTGCATCCAATTTCATAATGACAATAAACATAACGATGCAAAATTAAAACTGATTTCAGCATTTCAAGCTTCTGCTTTCCTTACCAAGAATTATTTTTCAAATTTAAACAATATTCTCAACAACAAACATATATATATTCTTACAAATCTCAATTTATATAAAACCAATTTAATTTTTCAGTGCATAAATTGAATTTCTTAACAGAATTTAAGAAGCTGTTACCAATTAAAAAGAAAAGAAAATACCTTGATGATCAATGTCAATAATAATCAACCCAAGCAAGTAAATAGCTACACAAAATCTTTAAACAATCAACATAACAACATGGAAACAAGGGGTATAGAGAGGCATTGTCACTCTCTCAAAATATTCCAAGGGTCATAGACCATCCCATTAGGTTGAAGGAGGTTGAATAGCTGTCACAGGAGGTGACTTTCCAGTATTGCCCCCGCTTGCAGATTTCTGGTTATTGAGTTGTTTTAGAGTCTCTGCTGAAGCATTGGCCCTGAGGATATCATTCTCATGCTCCAGTTGAGAGATCCTGTCAAGGAGCTCAGTGATTTTCTCCCTCAGGACCTCAACTTCTTCACGAACAGCAAACATCAGATGACTTTTTACCAAATCCTGGGAGAGAAAATATTTTTTAAATAAATGAATATAAATAATTAACAAATATAATACATAATGCTTCAATAATAACTAGCTTATCTTTAAAAATATTGCTCATCGTAAGCAAAAATTCTCCAAATAAATATGCAACATAATTGAATTAGGTATCAGAATTATTATACATCTTTCATAATATAGGCCCAAAGATGATATCCTTTTTTTATTATACACATTCACATTACTTTTAAAACTATTCCTTTAAATTATAAAAAAAAAAAAAAAAATATGAAAATTTTTGTAAAAATATTTTATTTCTTTAAATTAAATAAAAAATTGATCACATAACTAAAATAAATGTAGTTAAAAATGCCAATTATTATATGTTTAGTTTCATTTACAAAGAGTATCAAAATGAAATGTACGAGCAATATTAGGTGTCCCTTTAAAAAAAATAAAACAAATAATTGAAATGAAAAAATTAAAATACAAACAATTTACTATAATTTAAATAAAACTTTCATCACAAATTTTGAAAGGGGAAGAAAAAAAAAATTTTACACATGTCCACGCAACTTTCTTTAAATCAGATTAAAAAATGAATCACACAATTCAGTTTAAATAATAAAATGTATTAGATTTCCATATTAAATATTTAAATAAAAATTTATTTCCACGTACAAAAATAAAAATAAATAAATTACCATGGCTTGTTCTATCTTGTTATCAATAGCTACTGTATTTGCTCCAGTCGGTACAGCACTAAAAGAAATTTTAAAAATCAGGAATAATTTTCACTATAAAATACATTAAAATATGAAAACTAATTTTTAAAATTCGCGAAAATGCACATAAAAAAAATCACGCAATTTTATACAGTAAAACTATTAATCCCTTCCACCCTCACCCTACTCCCCAACACGGAGAATGAAAAAAAAAAACAGTACTTTGTGATCTTAACATTCCGGCAAGTAATGTTTAGGATATATTATAAAAGAGGAAAACATTCAAATTCAAATACACATTTAAAAGATTTTACGTCTAAAACAATTTGTCATTTGTTAGCAGTATTTGAACAACTAAACACTTTATAAAAAAGCACTCCAAAATCATGCGGAAAAGAAAACTTCGGTCTAAAGCGAAACAAAAACAGAAATCGCGTTTCCCGCCCAAAACAAAAAAATAAACAAACCATAAAAAAAGCAGCACTTACGTAACACAGAGAGATTCATAAAAGAAGCACATTCTATAAGATAATGTAAAAACACTCAACAAGATAGCTAATCTACAACTTTAGAAAGCGCTCTCATTCCTGGCGGCACACAGCAAGATCACTAAACCATAACCTACTGCGACAGTCGCGTGAATAAGCTTGAACCTTGACACCACGAGTTTTGACTCTTGGAACAAAATACACTCTGATATATCATACGTCACCACAAGCACTACTGAACAAAAACCAGAAGCATCTTTCAACACGTTTCTAAGGCACAACGGGGATAACATAAGTAATCTTGATCGCTCTCGCCTCGGTCGTCCCTCTTCTTGCAAGCAGAGGGTTGCCAGAAAACGGTCCGAGCGTTTATTTGGCGCTAAATACCAAACCAACCCCATTCGTCAAAAGTCGAAGATGACATTATCAGCTATTAATTTTTGGATTGTTCATGGTTTTGAAATTTCAATTATTAAACATAAAGATATGTGTTTAATCACAAATAAAACATACTTTTAATTAAAAATAAAAAATCCTCTGACAAACTTCCAAATTTAGAATGCACATTTTAAACCTCAAAATATAATTAGATACGAAATAAAAAAATATAAACATCGGTTCCAATAACTTATTCAAATTAAAATTAAATACGAATATTATTGAAAAAAAAAAAGAGTTATTTAGCTTAAATTCGAATTCATGGACATAAAAATTAATACGTAAAGTTATTTTATAAACATAAAAAGTACAATCAAAAAGAAATAAATGAATTATTTGTTGTATATTCCCACGTATTCATTATCAGGAACCAAGTAATAAAATTTAAAACATGTGAATTTTAAACTACAGTGATTCGGAAAATATTAGACAACACATTGTTTCAACATTCGAAGCGAGTTCAACATTGCAATCATTTATATTAATCGGCCAATATCGTTATCAAATAAACAAAGAGAAACATAACTCTCCTCATAAAAAGGATATATATTTCTTGGATAATAATATTTGCATTAGAAATAATATAGATCATTTACAGAATATTAAGAAATTTACTTTGATTAAAAATCTAAGAGAAAAATATTCTTGCTAAAGAAATAACATAAAACAGCCGTAACCACACACAAAATACTTTATTTTGAAAATTTCTTAATCTAAACAAATAATTTCAGCGAAACTGCATGATGGAAATGATTGCAATTAATAAAACATTGATATATGATTATGTATATCCAATCTTTCCAAAAATATATATTCAACAACCTAACTTTACTACTGTAACGCACTATTTCGTTATTAACAAGATTTATAGTCATTTCTAATTATTGTATGTTTTTTTTTTTTAATTTTTATCTAATAAAACAAAAATAATCTGACTTTGAATACAAACAAGAAGGGAGTGGGAAGGAAAGGGGGTCTTTTCTATTAGGAAGATAAAAAAGCCTGTTTTTTTTTATCCGTATTTACAACAGCAGGGGAGAAAAAAATGAACTGCAGCAATATTTCCTTATTAAATCACCACAACACAACAGGCGCGAAAATAAAACGCGAAGCGATAAACCTCCTGAACTAGCAACTCCTTGCAAAACTAGTCACGTGATTTAATCGCCCATTGACGTCATCAACGAAGTTGGCCATAGGCCAATCGGCGATCTAAAGCAAAGCTACTTCCCCCAAACACCTGATTATTTCAGAGGGTCATTCACCCTTGCGTTTCGTAACTTCGTAGTAAGAGCCCTATTCAGTATCTTCACAAGCACGCGAAAAAATCGTAGTATCTATATTTGCTAAATAACTGCTGTTAACGCAAACAGTTTTCCCGATTCCACATGCATTACATGCATGCGTTTTATCACTATGACAACAGCAATTTTATGAAAACTAAATATCATTACTTTAGCAATTGGAAACAAAATTTCACTTCCGCAATTAGGTATTTAAAATCGATTGATTAACGTGTTTTTCAACAAAAAAGGCATATTGCACTTTTACTAACTTTTTCTATCCATCCAAATTTTTTGCAGTATTTCTTCCCTTATAGCTTTAAGTTATTTATTTTTTTAAAAAAACCTTATAAAATATGAATTTTTATAGTTACAGGTTAATGAAAAATATTTATATTATAAGAATACGAACTATTAGTGACATCCGAACATTTATGAAGATTAAAAAGAATCGAAAGTGAAATTTAAATATTACCATACTAATAAAATAACTCTTAAAAAGCAATAAAAACGGTGAATTAATTCGTTTAAAAGTATCAAAGATATTCTGAAAAAGATTCAAAAGCAATTAGAAATATAAAAGTACATTTAATTTTTCAAAAACTGTCTTGATTTCAAACACGCTCTTGATGGAGAAAATCTCCATCCTTTATCGTTTCAGAAAAAATATTACCAAGGAAAACCAATATACTTCCACATATTTAAGAACACTTTCCTCGAATATTGATTACCTTTTTACTTAAAAGTGAACAGCTATGTAACTGACATGCTGATCAGTTTTATATAAATATGATATTATATATCACTACTCCAGTGGTTCTTAAACTGTGGTCAGTGTACCCCTGGGGGTGCCCAGAGCCCTTCTAGGGGCCTGTGAAGGTTTTTCACACATTTAATGTTAAGATTTCCCACTGTTACACACTCTGAAAGGTCTCGAAGAAAAGATGAAAGATGTGCCATCAGATACTAGATCACTAAATTGTCCCCCAATGAAAGAATACTACCAGAAAAAAATGATTTCAATCAAGAATACTGTTTTTTTTTTTATTGTTTGCAACTACGTAACCATTACTACAATATAGTATTTTTTTAAAAAATAGTAGAAACACTTACAATTGAAATTGCGACCTTAGAAAAATAAAATGAAACTGCTGGAGCTATATGTGTAGTCTGTGTTGAAAAATAGTGTGTGGAGAAATGCAAATTAAATGCTTGGAATCTGTGTTGGCCGAGGCTGCCTCCGTTACCGGAGGCTAGAGAAAGGACAACTTAATCTTTTTGAAAAAAGTTTTTTTAAAAATAGGTCAAACTAAGAAGCTAAAAAACTACCCTGCCCCAGGTGAGGATCGAACTCACAACCTCGGCATCACTCAGAGGTACTGCTGTATAAGTACCTAACCGCGCGATTGCGCCACTGGGGCTAATCAAAATCTTAGGAGTCCACAATGTCAGGCTGATACATAAAGGGGGACCGCGGCGACCGGATGTTTAAGAACCGCTGTACTACTCCAACATTGTTTAAAACATTTGAAACAGATTTATCATAATTTAATTACTTTAAACTAAAAAAAAAAACTTTTCAGAATAGTATTTTTTAAAATTTCTACAAAGTTAAAATAAATGTTGAAATGAATAATAAAAATAAATATCAGATTTTTATATGCAATAAGTCTCATAACATGAACGAAATTGCATGAATATTCAATATTTCAATTAATTATCTTTAAAAAAAAAAGCTTCAGCGTCGAGCTCGCAGTTCATTGAAATCATGAGGATTTGGGAATGGTGAAAGCGAGTGCACAATCTCTAGAACAATGAATTTCTGTCATAGAAAAAGAATTTCCTGGAACGCACGACGCTTCTGTTCTAAATTTGGAACTTTTCATAGGGAGTTCTCGTTATTTGTAGAGAGCAGATCTCGTTCTGTTCTTAGAAATCGAAATCTATTCTATGCAGAATTTTAACGATTCCGAGAAGGGATAACAAATAAAATTGAGAGGAGAGGAAGAAGGGGGGGGGGGGGT